TCCACCACATCACGAGCAAGGGCATCCCCAATTACAACCTAATATTTTCAAGGTTTTAAAGATATGAGAGAAGCAATAACAGCTGCTGCAAGAATATCATATTTTAACCCTAGTTAAGACTTGCGCAGCGTCTATACGAGCACCACCCGCTCAATGCTTGAGCGGTTCTGGCACGTAAGTATCGCATTGTATGTACGTATCGATGTAAATACGCATTCACTATTGCCGCATATCGCAGGGTTAAGGAACTATATGCGCTATCTCAGGTTAACACCGTCTATACGACGTTATCCCGAGACAGATCTGATCTCGGGTTAGCTTAGCCTCCTTCACATCACGAGGTTAGACTAACACGGGTTAAGGCTTAACCCTGGTTCTCTTAACCCGAGATAAGCACGCGTGTAAATGCTTATACCGCGATAAAAATCCTCGTATAGACAAGACTTTACATCGTCTACACGAATAAATTTGTCTCGGCTTAAGCGTCTTATTACATCGTCTACACGAATAAATTTGTCTCGGCTTAAGCGTCTTATTACATCGTCTACACAAGGAAATCTGTCTCGGCTTAAGCGTCTTATTACATCGTCTACACGAGGAAATTTGTTTCGGCTTAAGCAAGCGTCTATACGATGTCTTAACTCGGGTTAAGCAAACCCGGGTTAAGCTTTAATCCGGGTTAGCTTAACCCGAGTTAAGACTCGTGTAGACGCGCGCGAAATCGTTAACTCGAGTTAAGCGGTAGTCGCATACCGCAGTCAACACCGCCTCCCGCTAGCTGCCGTTAGCTTAACTCGGGTCAAGACAAACTCCGTGTAGACGAGGCTTCTATATATTTCGTACCTGTCAAATGTGTACAAATTGCCCAGTTTGTACAAATTGCTGGTGACTTTATCATCTTGTGCAAAGTGTGGAATGTCCGTTTTTGATTGGTCCATTCCATCAATAGTAATATTAGACAGTTTTGATTTGAATCAGTTTGCCTTGCGCTGCTCCTTGCTCGATGATAGTATTTTCTCATCCAGCTAAAGCAAATAATTTACATTATGCATATATACCGATCACTAGATGCACACTAAATTATTTTTGCAGAATAATGAAATTGTATGCTGTACGTGTGTCACTGTTGCATATCAACAGACATTTACAATAGCAAATGGCCAGCGCGCGTAACGAGTTCTTTTGTTGTGATACAATTAAGTTTGGTATCTAAACGTTGCTGCTGCGTTCCGCTGCTGACGTACGTCGTCTATTGTGTGGATACGCTATTTTTAAACGTGCGTTCACGCAATACAAATAATATTAGGGCAAGCCAGTCGAGGCTACCAGCCAAAATTGAAATTAGGTTGCAATTAAGCTTAGAGATAGTAAATGAATACACATATCGGGGATTAAGTTATCCAATAACCTAGAGAGCTGTGTTTTCTATAGCTACTCATGTAATGAAATAAACGTACCATAAATATTAATACTTTCGTATACTTTCAGTAGATCTACATGTACCAGTATTCTAGCAAGGAAGGTGCGAAGTGAGTGACAGGTCCACTAGTCAAGTTTATATTTACTTACTCAACTTGAAGCTTGTGTTGAGCTATGACTTTACCAATTGCTTGTCTTTGGTGCGTTGTGACAGATGCTTGATAGTCAACCTTCAACTGCACACAGGTATTGCATACAGCAAAAGTTGATGGCTGAAATAATAGACATTGAAAAAAGAGTATGTAGATTGTAGATTAATCACATTGAATACCGTAACACAAAGCTATCAACATACCATAAACTTTGACCATAATTTGGTATCAGCAATAAATCAATTGTGTGTCAGCTCAAACTACAAAGTTTTGATTACATTGCCAATCTTATACTGGGGAAAGTCTTTTTTTCCATATCACTATATCAGACATTCATATGAGATGTGGTCCTTGATATTCTTCTGTTCTATCTCATCTTTGTCATCTTCCACAAGCTCAGTTTTGTATAGCAGTAAGGCAGATAAATAGTATCATCATTTGGCATGTAATCACCCATCCAACTTACTGCCATCCAAGCCTTTGCTTCTGTTGTTTTCCATCTTCATTTTCCTTGTGTGTTTATGCGCATTCTTGTATGCACCAGTAACAGTAATAGCTATACCCAGTAAATAACCATGCAGTTCTATCAAACAGCAAATTATCAAACAACATCGGCAATTCTCTGTAGTTCTTTGCGGGGTGAAAGACTGTTCGTATGGCTACAGCACGCAGAAGATAACGGTAAACGTGTTTACAAGCAATTGTCAAATGGAGGAAAGGAGGAATAGAAGTCAGTCCCATCTCTCAAGTCACTGATCTTAGAGGACAGTTAGTGAGGGTGAGTTTATTTTAAAAACTGTTTGCAGCAGTTTCTTGTTGACGTATGCAATTTTCTAAGGATCTAAAGCTGGGTTTGCACTATTACGTGTGTGTGCGTGCGTGCGTGCGCGCGCGCGTGTGTGTGCGAGTGTGTGCATATGTGTGTGTGTGTGTGTGTGTGTGTGTGTGTGTGTGTGTGTGTGTGTGTGTGTGTGTGTGTGTGTGTGTGCGAGCGTGCATGTGCATGTGTGTGTGTGTGTGTGTGTGTGTGTGTGTGTGTGTGTGTGTGTGTGTGTGTGTGTGTGTGTGTGTGTGTGTGTGTGTGTGTCTGTGTGTGACATTGGGCCTGTATATGGGTGTGGGTGTGCGTGCGTGTGCATGGATATGCGTGCGTGCGTGCATGCTTACGTACGTGTGCAGGCCGGCGTGAATGTGAATAAAATGGAATCCACTGGCACACGCGAACGTGCACCCAAACGCGCACAGGCACGTACGCACACATGCGACGGAGCGGCACGCACGCATGCACGCCGCACACACAGGCACGCACGCTGGCACAAAGCGCAGGTACGCACGTACACACACACACACACACACACACACACAAAACTTATTTAGAAACGCTTTACCAACGTTGAGATATTCCATTATTAATCAGTAAAAGGTGAGATATTCTGACAACAAAACATGTTGAAAAGCTATTTTTACAGGTACGGGGATAACAGCCGCAATGAGATTGAAGAGAAATTGTGTTGCAGTAGAAAACGATATCAAGCAGGTCGAAGCCATCAAGAGGACACTATAATACGCCTACAATGTAACTTGTAAATGCTGTTTTGGTAAAAAATTGTAGTCACGCTAATTTTGCCTATTTGGAACCCATTTTTAACATCAAACAGAAGAAAACTTTGATATATTTTTAACAGTGATTTTGTATATAAAAAGTTGTATATATAAATAGTTTACTGTAATTTCATGTTTTTGTGTATGTCGCTCATTGTGTAAATAGTGCATAAAACTAGTCTCTTTTAAACGTTTGCGAACAAAAATATCTCTGTCTTATGAAGGTTATACTTGGACTAGTAATGCATTGGATTTCAAGTGTTTAGATAAAAAAAAATTATTATCGGTATTGCAAATAAGCTGTGATTTAATTCAACCTGTACACGTAGTAGTTTTTCTGAATAAGCCACACGTACAGTAATAATTCTTTTACATGTAACTGTGTCTCAAATGTGTAATACATAAGCTATAATTTAAACTGCTAGGCGAATATTAACTTTTACTACATTGGTATATTCAAGCATGTTTAACGTTGATTTTGTAACTGATGCAAGAAAATATAGTCTGTTAAAAAATTAGATTGTTACAATAAACTAGTGTCACAATATCTATCTATTTGATTATACTGGCATGCGGCTTTAATAGGCAGCTTCAAATGTTATGAAGTATATCATTAATCAACGATTCTATCACGACCTTAGTCTATTCCCAAACCTAGCAGTCGCGCGCTGTTTATCGTTTCTACAGGAAGCATCAGATCTTGTGACTGCATGGTGCAATAAAACAGTCTGTTTTAGCAGGAAGTTAGCAGTCGCGCGCTGTTATTAGGGCTGCTATATAATGCAGCCCTCATAAAACGTAATCGTTTGCAATGTTCACGTTTTTGTTGACTATATTATAGCAGTTTACACCAGGAAGTTAGAAGTCGCGCGCTGTTAGCAGAAAGTGGATTCTAAATTCATCGTGTAAAGCAATGTCTTATAGCAGGTGTAAAGCACACCAGCTAAATTATAAGCAAAATAATCAACGCAGAGCTTTTTGAAAAGCTCGAACCTCACCTCTGCTAGATTTCATAAAATTCCTTTCACCTATAGCTTGTATATAAAATTACAGCTACGAAAAAGTAGTGACGCCTGTTATCTGGCAGAAATTCTAATTTCCAAGAATTCAAAAGTATTTTCAATGGTGTTTTGTGTGCGTATGCGTGCGTGCGTGCGTGTGCGTGCGTGTATATGTGTGTGTGTGTGTCTGTGTGTGTCTGTCTGTCTGTCTGTGCCTGAGTGTGTTTGTGTGTGCATACGTGCATGTGTGCGTGTTTCTGTCCGTGTTTGTCTGGCTGTGCCTGTGTCTGTGGTCGTGCGTGCGTGCGCGCGCGCGAGTGTCTATGTGCGTCTGTCAGTCTGTGCCTCTGTCTGTGCGTGCGTGAGTGTGCACGCGTGTGTCCGTGTGCCGTGTGCGTGTATACCACTGATCTCTACTATACTAACGTTAGTATAGTAGAGATCAGTGGTGCATACATACGCCCATGTGTGTGTGTGTGTGTGTGTGTGGTGTGTGTGTGTGTGTGTGTGTGTGTGTGTGTGTGTGTATGGTGTGTGTGTGTGTGGCGCGTTGTGCGTGCGTGTGGCGTGTGCGTGTGCGTGTGCGTGTGCGCGCCGTATGGTGTGTGTGTGTGTGTGTGGTATGTGTGTGTGTGGGGGGGGTGCGGTATCGTCGCGTCGCTGTGTGTGTGCACGCGCGCGTGTGTGTACATTTACAAACGTAGTTTTAAAGCTTTTTCACGTGGTGCCGACGAGCAGTTTTCGAACTGTCGCTTGCTTTCGTTCGTCCCCGCAGAGTAAAGGTAACAACACCCTAAAATGAGTTGAACATTTTACGCGATAGGAT